GTTGACCCTATGTCTCTGCCTGATGAGGCTCAATCCCTGGCGCTACAGTGTTCAGTCACTGACGCCATTATGGTAGCTATGGGCTCTATGTGCTCTGCCCTCTCCCAGGCTTTAATCGCGCGCCCACTGGCCGCAGAAAGTTCAGCCCCACCAACGCGCCAAACATATCCTGGCTCGGACCTTTCAGGAGACGCACCCAAAAAGGCTAATGCCAAATCCAGACACTTAAATTACTCTGCCTCCAGAACCCATATGACTGGTAAACCTGAGGTCAACCATGATGGCATGCCTGTATCACGCAAAAGAGCCTTTCTGCGCCAGGCTGGCAGTGGAAATGTGCTAGAGCACAACCTGAGAGCGACTCAGAATCGGGTATAATGAGGAGGTAGTCAACCCCAAAATGACTCAATTCCTCTCTAAATTGGGTTGGAACCCTCGCAAGGGCCTGGACTCGGCTCTTAAATCGTGCCAAGATAAACATCTGGACATATTTGGTCCCTTGGCAAAACTGCTCGACCTGGCTGAAAATGCCAGAGCTAGGAACAGGCAGATTGACCCAGAAGAACTTCGTGGTTGTGTACAGAGAGCAATCTGCATAGCGGGCAGTGTTAACACTTTACTGTCCATAGAATGGCGAAAAGCCATTCTCTTTAAAATAGAGCCAAAATTGTCCAATTTTGCCCTCACCGAGGCAGACAAGGACACGAAGGCCTCTTGTTTGGGAAGTCCTTTATAAAGGACCTTGGGCGATTTGTAGGAGCTTTTACAGCCCAGGATAAAGCCCAATCATGGTTCCCACAGCACCTGGAACTGGCAGTGGATGTGCCCAGGCTGTTACCATCTTACCCGGAACTTTTTCTGGACACAACGGACTGGAGACACCCTCTCTTGCTGGATGGGTCATTGCTGCTGGGAAGTCCAGGGGATATCGGATGCAACTCGACGCCTCCTGGCGGACGCATGGGCCCCCGGTACTAGACGATCATATGGGACCGCTTGGAGAGCTTGGGCTGGCTGGTGATCGGAAACATGGATCCACTTTCAGCACCTGTAACTGCGATCCTCCAATTCCTCACCTCGTTATTCAAGGCTGGTTGTGCGTATCGCACGATTAACTTGTACAGATCGGCCATTTCCTCAACTCATCAGGGTTTTGACAGCTGTCCCGCAGGCAAACACCCTTTGATGTGCCGTTTGCTTTGGGGCTTACGACTGTCGCGCCCTCTTAGGCCTCGATACTCTTCTACTTGGGACGTCTCCTGCGTATTGTCTCTCTTTAATTCCTGTCCTCCTAACTCGGACCTCTCCTTACGACAGTTGTCAGCCAAATAGGTCTCCCTTTTTTGCTTCATTTCATGCAAACGGGTTTCGGATGTTTGTGCCCTGGACTATGATGCTTGGTCTTTCACTCCAGAAGGGGTGACATTTAACATCTCAGACGGCTATTCGGTCGGTTTCATATCTGAGTTTTCCAACTGCTCCAGCGTTGTGTCCGGTGGCTTGTTTGCGTGAGTATGAGCTTCGGACGAGTGCACATTGTTCGGTCTTGTCCCCAAAACTTTTTCTCTCAGTTCGTCAACCTTTTTCCCGCATCTAGTATAACCTTGGCTCACTGGGTGAAATGGGTGATGTTGCTGGCTGGTGTGGTACGTCCATTTTTAGTGCCCATACCTAACGGCAGGCATCAGCCATGTCTATGGTGGTTTCGGGGACGCATCTGAAAGACTTGATGAGGATGGCGGACTGGTCCCGTGAGTTCACATTTCGCAAATTTTATTTTCGATCGGTACCTCGCGTTTTTTCATCAGTGGTTGGTCAGCTTTAAAATTGCAATTTGAGCCTCTGTGTCTTGACATAAAATTACATGATTTTGCAATTTCATGATGAAAAGTCATGATTTTGTGAAAGACACGGAGACGAGTATTGTCCCACTCTTCTATGTTTATCTCACTTGCTTCTCTCTCCCTGTTGTCTTTTTCTATCTCATATAGGATTCCAGGGTGTGGTAGGTATTTGTGGTACGCGCTGTGTTTATTTAACCATTTATGTTCACATGTGGCCCGGCTATGTGTTATGTTTTGTCATGAGGTTTTGCTATGGGGGTATTGTGCCCTTCTATCGATATGATGTGTCTTGGCATGCGCACTTTGGTTCAAGTATCGATTTAACCGTTGGGCTCCAGTTTTTTGTGTTTTCACAGGTTGATGCTGTGCTGCTTGAGGGTCCTCACTGATTCCCGCAGAAATTTAACCTATTTGCTGGATGTATACAGATTGTCCTATAATGGGATCCTCTACGGTAGCGTTTTCTGAATCTGTGATGGATTGGTCCCATTTCGTTTATTTGTTCCTGGTTGGATTCCGGCTGGATTTCAAGACAGTTGTTCTGCTGTGGTTGGACTGATTCATCAGTTACTGTTTGCTGTTAGTTATTGTGTCGCAACTCCAAAGAAAGAGGAAATATGTAGGGAGGTGTTGACTATTATACTTGGTATGGGAGTGGCTTATCACTATGTATACCATTTTTTCTCACTGTTTGTATTCTTTGCTGCTATTGGTGGACAGTAAAGAAAGGGATAAGCATCCCCATTTTGTCAAGAAATAGAAAAATCATGTAATTCACAAATTTACCTATTGAGGGATCAAGCAGCATGCCTACCCTCCTCAGAGTCCTGTTCCTTATCAAATAAAGCAGTATTTTGTATATATGATAATGTTATAATTTATTCTGTGAGTCCCTTTTTATCTGCACAGTGTACTACCAAATTGTACTGTATTACACTATGCTATTGTTTTCTTTTTTCTAGATTAACAGCTGTATTCCAAAAATCAATGGACAGTAGTCACTAAATCTGCAACTTTAAAGGATTAGGTTTGAATCCATGTACAAGACAATACTAATAGTATAAATGAAGCTATTAAGGTGAATAAATCTATACAGCTAAATGGGCTGCAGAATAAAAATCTAAAGATTGAGAATAACTTTATTAAAGGTATATAAAACTAAAAATAAAACAAATAGACATATAAGATGGTCTGCTGTTATACAAGAAAAGGTGAATAAAGTGCTGACTGACAAAGGTGAGTGGTAAATCGAGGTGGCTGGGGCTAAATGAAAGGAGGAAAAACGTTATAGCAGAAGTCTTAGAAATTAAAATATTAGATAACAAGGCTAAAGCCCCAATTGGTTCACCCTCCTAACCACTCACTGAACTGAAGAAGTCCTTGTGACCGTCATCAACATGGCAGTAGTCTCCAGTTTCTGTGCCCAAAAAGGACCCATCAAAATCCAGCTTAAGATAAGCAGATGAAGCATAACAGTAATGCTTTGTATTTGCTCTGTAGGATGTTACATCATATTTGGCCTCACCACAAGTTTTTCGTTACCAACCTACATCAACTTCCAGACTAAAACTGGTGTCATGCTCATGATACCCATTAGGTTGAAACAGTAGTCTATGACTGGTATATGTATTAGAGTAGGCATAGAATTGGTCTTGCAAAAATGAATACTCCAATTTATGTTTGTGTGTGCGTGCATGGGTGAAAAAAATTTGAAAAGCATAGTATGTATAACACCACTTTATTGGACTAGCAGAGCTTTGGAACAATAAGCTGTCAGGAGGTCCTACTTTATTAAGTCCAAATGTTTAAAGGATCACTATCGTGTCAGGAAAACAAAGCGGTTTTCCTGACACAATAGTGCCCTGAGGGTGCCCCCCACCCGCAAGGTCCCACTCCCTTGGCGCTGAAGAGGTTAAAACCCCTTCAGCAACTTACCTGAATCCAGCACCGGGCTCCCTTGGCGCTGGTGACCTCTCCTCTCTGTCCGACGTCAGCTCCCCCGTCCGACGTCACTGGAGCGAAATTCGTCTCCAGCGTCGCAGATGCTCCACTAGTGGCTGTCCAGAAGACAGCCACTAGAGGCTGGCTTAACCTCAAATGTAAACATAGCAGTTTTTCTGAAACTGCTATGTTTACATGTGAAGGGTTAAAACCTGAGGGACCTGTCACCCAGACCACTTCATTGAGCTGAAGTGGTCTGTGTGACTATAGTGTCCCTTTAAGACTTGACATAGGAAGGTTCCAACAAAAGCTTGTTATTCCAAAAGAATGTCAGTCCAATGAAAAAGGTATTACAAGATAATGTATGTATAAACCTGTTACTCCACCTTTTATACTTTGGTACATTTATACATTTATTCCACCTTTTTTATAGTGCTCCAATATAATCTGTCTTTTCAACACTTTTTATTCATCTTTTTTGATTTTTTTCCCCTCTCTTTCTTCTGGTGATATTTCAATTAAAATAAGTGACATTACTTGGAAACAAGATGCATTGTCTGTCTGAAGAATATTTTATACATTTAATATAAAAAATCAAAGCGACTTACCTGTCTCAAGCACCTCCTCTCACCCCAAATTCGCTGAAAATCGTTTTGTGTTTATAAATAGTAAGCACCAAATGTGTTGGGGGAAAAAAATGTGAAGTGCTGCAATTTAGAGAATTAATATGCAAATAAAGGAAAACAGCCTAAAAAGTGAACACAACATATAACCCCCATTGTCTGCAGACTCATAATATACTGCATTGCTTTACACGATGAGGAAATTCTGCTTTATTTATACTATTTCTGTTCTTTGTTGTAAGATTCTCAGCGTTCCACTGACTTTGTTGGCATTGAGGGTCAGTTGGCACACAGCAGCATCTCTCTCTCCCATCCGCTAGCCTAGACCTGACTGACTGGTGCTACTGAACGTCACAAGTGACGTGCTGGAGCCCAGAGTCCTCACTCCTTATGCTGCTGCTGCCGCTGCCTCCTCCTCCGCTGCTTTCACGGTGTCAGCGCACAGCCAGCGCCTGCAGCCTCAGCCAGCGCCGGATAGCAGGAGCCGTGTCAGCGCCGTGCTGACGAGCAACATTCCGAGCGATAGGGAAGGCTAGAATTCTACTGTCAACATTCTGAGCCAAGTCAGCCTCAGCAGTACTGCCCCATATATGGGCACTGGAGGCGGATGCTGCTTCTCCTGGATGGAGCCAGGAGCCAGTGAAGGACCTGTTCATCTTGATATGTCCTTTTAGCAATCTTTCAAAAGATTCCCCCCTCTCCCCACCACCCCCTTTCTCCCCAACATGTATCTCTCCATGGAATTTCGCTGGTATTAAGCAGTCTCTGGGTATCTGTGGATTTTGCCATCACAATATATATTATTTTTAGCGGCTGAAATATTGTACATTTTATTTCTTTTTTTTTTCTTCCTTTCTTTTGGATCTCTCTCTCTTTTTTTCTTTTTTGGCTGTGTTTGTTTGCTAAAAATCGGATTCTTGTTGGAGCTGCTGGCTACTGAGGCTCCCTTAACAACAATGCTGGTATTCATTAAGAGAAGATACTGCAAAATGCATCAATTCAGCTTTGCCTAAGCTTTTTATTAAGGGGGGCAAACTCGAGTATTTATGATCCCCCTGATTTGGACATATACAAGGTAAGGGAGATCTGACGTTTCTGTGGCTGAATCTCTATAAATTCCAATTGACGATGCTATAAATAACTTTTGTCTGTTTTCCTCTAGACACAGCTGTTTAATTGTTTCATTAATTTTAACAATTGCCAAGAGACTTGCTTTTAATCAATCAATATGTCTCTTTGACAATAGCAAACATCTGATGTGCATATTGTATCCAAACATATTGTAAGAGGAATAGTATTTGCACTAAACTGCAGTATGCACCTGAAGGAATTGCACACAAACATTTGATTTACATAAATGAAATGCAAAGGTCTCCACAATAAAACACCCAAGGATTTTTCAGTCAGGTAGAGGTCTTCTGCAATCGTTTAAGGAGCTGCTTTGTATCTGTGCAAGGGATGATGATAGTGTTTTGCCCTTAAAGATCAAATAAAGTGAATCTGGAGAACTAGTCACTCTTTGAATAAAAACGGACAATTCTTCAAGCTGGCTCGGTCCTCTAGACACAGATGGAGCTAGTAAATCTGGAGCTGGTCTGAAAACCAATAGATAGTATGCAATGAACTCATCAACTAAGGCTAAGTTATGCAAATGGCAGAATTTTCCTGTATGCAGGAGGATACCAGAGAGGAAAAAGCTTTGTGTGTGTTAGCTGTAGTGTGAAGAGTCATTTGAAATGCATACATATTGCCCTTACTATTCTGCAAAACAGATGTATAAACTCCCTGTTTCTTTATTTCCCCTTGCAATTATATTTCCCCTTTGATAATGAGCAATGGATAACTGTCAGAAATGAACAGACTGTGTATGTATCGCCATCAAATATAAAAGGTACAGAAGTTTAAGAAGATAGAGAGGGACTACAGTGTAAGAAGTAGGGGCAATTTCCTGTGTTATATATTCAAATGGCGTAAAACTGTGATAACAAGACAGGGAATTTAATATTGAACTGTCTAGGAGTAACTAGAATATAGACACCAGTAAATAGATGGTTCTTAATATGATCTGATGAAATGACAAATACATTACTGAAACACTGTACAGTGCACATAACAACTTGTTAACCAGATAATTAACCATAGATTAGATTTAGCAGAATTCTAGTTGTAGGACATAAATATGTGTTGACCTAAATCAAGATTTCTGTAGTTTATTGGGTCCATTGTGAATTATGTATTATTGTTCTGTTGGCAAATGTCACCTGCTTTAACAAGGAAATGTCAGGATATTTATTATGGGTGGACAATCTAAACCATAAATAGACATTCATTGTAAGAATGTCCTTGTGGTTGACTCAATGACATCCAAGCAAATATTGACTTGAATGAAATGTAAACGTTTTTTGTAAAATTCCCTCTAAAACCTGTACTTATTTTGCACATTTGTCTAACAGTGACCTCGCCTAAAACTGATTTTATGTAATTCTATCTGTTATTTGTAATTTCTGAAAATGTTGTGAAGAACAGCTATAGTTGTCCATGTACTTCAAAATTCCATCTCCAACTTGCGTATTTAGAGTCTTTCATGTGTGGTGGAAGGACACTTGCAGTAGGTCCAGATTTTCTCTGCAAAGTTATATGCTTGAAGTCAAGGTACCTTCTAAACCCACTTTTCCAAAATGAGAAGAAATATTATTAAGAGATTGACCCGGAACCGTGGGTCTGTGTGAATGGTACTTTAACACTTCATGCCAAGAGATGCACTGGCTCCTCCTATTTTATTCTAGCTATTTGTCATAACTAGAATTCTACTTGTGGTCTCCGCCTCATAAAACGCAACAGTTTGCCAGAAAGTGTGACGTACTTTGAGGTTTACAAAAAAGCTTGGTGGATTTATTAATTTAAAGGGTGAAGCTCGTCTCATCTACTTTAAGGAATGTCTCTGTACCATACAGATGATCTCAACACATTCACTTGCCTATTTGTAACAGGATGCAGCTGTTTGGGAAGCAGATCCTGCATCTTATGGTGTAATTTGTCAAAGTATAGCAATAAAAATCTGGGGCCAAGGTAGCAAAACGGCATGACAACGTACAAATGTCACCTAAATTCTGTCATCCTCAAATATTTTAATCTGTTAGAGGTGGTGGTGAATCGGTACATGGTATTATCTACAATGTTTTCGTTTAAATATACTGTTATAAATGTCAGTTATAGGTTACACATCATTGCAGTTAACTGTATCAGGGTTTTGCCAGAGTAGCAAGGTTCTGTTTCTGTGAGTTTCTGTAGCTGATGTTATAATGTGATTAATACCTCCAGTGGCACCAAATTATTATTTGGTGGAATGCGAAGTATCCAGTATTCTCCTGTGCTAGGGAAATGGTTTCTTATACTGTACACTATTAATTTTAAATGGAGTTGGTACGCATTAACAGTGAATACTCCCCCCAAAAGAGTTGGGTTTCTCAGCAATATAAAGTCCTCAGAATAAAACATGAAAAATGAAGAAGTTTGGACATGTAGGTCAAAAAATCCAGCATTGTGTGTAATGTTACTATCATTATTGTTGTATAATATAATATTGTCTCTGATTTTAAAAGGTTGTTAGCTCTGTCTTCAATCTGGACATCTGTGTGTGCATTGTAAGGCATCGCTACATCATTTACCCCGTACTGGTAAATGGGCCTGCAGCCTGTGACAGTTTCCCAGTGGGCTTGAAGACATTATCAAGGCATCTTTTCTTTTTTTAGTTTATGCTTGGAGAATTGAACTCAAGTGTTCTGGCAATGGAAATTTCATATTGTGTCTAAATTTATACCCTAGTTACTAAAATCAAACTGAACCTGCCTGTAAGGTTGACAGGGCTGACATTTGAATGAATCTCAATCACTACAGAGAATCATCAGTCGCACACGGATTGATTGCAGAACAGTAATATAGAAAATGGGTTAATTGCTTCTAATTCTAATGCTTGGAAGGGAGGGAGAGCAAGAAACTGAAACCATGGCATACAAAATCTGGGTGATTATAGGAAAGTTTCAAGAGAAATTATAGAATGAAAAATACTGGATAGCAGATTGGATAAGAAATAGTGGGATGCTCGATTGTTCGGTGCAGTGTAGCTGTTTATCACAGATTTTCTGTTATATTGTAGAATGGACGGAAAGAAATCAGGGGCTCAGACAGAAGGGATGTAAACTGAGAAGGGATTGCCAGATACAGCAGAAAGAGAGGAAAAAAAGCATAATTAGGACATACAAGCATATATGTCTCTGTTAGAGAAGAGAAAGAAAAAGCTAAATTGCACAAAGCTGTTGAATAGACGCCAGTCAGCATATTCATTCAGCCTGTGACTTTCCACTGCGCTGCTTCATCTAGAAGCAGTTTGATGTAATGTCATCAATGTTTCAATTAATATTAATTAATTTACTTGACTGTTTTTGCATTTTCCTTGGATCAGTTAGCTGAGTGACAAAAAACAAACATTAAAGTGATAACGCTGTAGATGTCTTTGCTGTTCGGCTTCTCTGCCAGCAAACAAAATGGTTGTACAAGTTATTATGAAACTGTTAAATCACGAAATGACTTGTGTCAAGGAATTGGACTGTATTGATTCTTCACATAGCTTTGGGGTGGGCAAGAAGAGCAAGTTGGCTTTGCCAAATAACTGTGGAGTTCTGGACTTCATCAAAATGCTAATCAATAATGTTTTACAGATTTTGAAACCCATACCATTTTGGAAATATGGCTCTGCTAATTAAAATGGCTCGAGACGTATTCTACAATTTTTAGGACATTAGATTAATTTACAGTAATTTCTAGGCTGAACACTCATTTCTGAGTTGAACGAGAAATGCTAGTGCAAGAAAATGTGATTTATATGGTACTGCATGCCATTTACTATGAGAATCAATTTTTCTCATACCTTTTGAGCTCATTGATTTGTGCAGGCGAAAGGTTTAGGGCGGGTGGCTCAGCATTTATACTAGTGTCTCAAATGGATATAGTTATATTAAACCAAGCCAGCAAAATTTAGATATACTAAAAGAATTTAGAAAACATTTAATCAAGTTACATTTCAATTAATAATATTATTATACTTTTGTGAAAAAGTTACCTGGGCATTGACAGGATATTGTTAGACTTGAATAGGAGACTTGCTGTCCATTGTTTCAATATTTGTCAACTGGCAGTGTGTACACACTTTAGAGTTCTTCTGAAGGGCAGATAGGAACTTTAATACCAATTTAGTTTCAGATATTAAAGGGACGTGTCAGTCATACTCCAGGCAGTAACACAACTAAAGTGTATTTGATATCTTTTGACCTCATAATATGCTGTACTTTTCTCATCTCTGTTCTTCTCTATTAAAATGTCATTTGTTTTTCTAAGAAATAAAAAGTTGCAACTTACTGCATCCCCATCTCCCTGCAAACAAAAACCCAAAACAATCTTTTTGAAATACTCATACTAACTGTGTTGGAAATTTGCTAAAAAGTTATACTGAGTCAAAAGTTATACTTTGTCTCAGTATTTTTCCTATGCCTGACCTTTTTACACATTTGACGGAGCTACCACCATCTAGAAGTGTCAATCTCCCAGCCGTCAGTGACAGTGCCACTTTAGTCCAGCTGCTGTAGCCCATGCCTTTTTATAAATCAACTTCCTTATTACAAAGCTGAGCTGAGTAGTATACTCACAATACTTCTAAAAAGGAAACTGATTGGTGAAAAGAGGAGCAAAACTGACAGATTCAAGCAGGGAGAAGAACAGGGTTGTGCCTAATATAAATTGGAATATACCAAAAAATATTTTCACAGAAATAAAATATAAATAATAAATAAAAAGAAAATAATACAGGTATACTGAAATAAAATATGGTAAAAAAAAGTCTTTAAAAGGAACAGCCAACTTGATAGAGTTAAAACGTTCTTGGGGGTTGGGTTCATGGGGTCATTCCAGAAGTATATGCAAGATACAAGAAAAAAGACTCCAATGGTGCAGTAAATAATGAGATATGTATACAAAATTATATAGGTTATGTTTTACTCACATTTACCAGAGCTATATCCAGCTCTGGTGTGTATAGCGTGAAGTGGAATGATCCCCACTTCTGGGATATATGTGGTAGGTGGAAGAACACAGCATGACTATGAAGCCAAATGTGCTTAAGCCAAAATGTGCTTCAGTTGTGTTGGTGACCAGAAGGTTCCTTTAATGCTATTTGGTAGGAAATGGTAGGGATACTGTTATGGAGAGCACTGATGATATTATGCTTTAAAGGAACATAATATCTCACTAGTGGTACATGGTTAGGAAGGTTTGTAGGTTTACTAGGTGGAATATATCAGCACCAGTTTGATTTCAGAAGTTAATAAAATTGGGTAGAAAAATGTTGCTATTAGGAATATTTGCTGAGTGAAACGTTGATGTTAAGTGTCCTTTGCTGGAAAAAGTATTCAGCTAATGGCAATTTGTTAGAACAAAGGTTGAAAGGTATATTTTTTATGTTGATAGTTTTTCCTGTTGAAATAGATTTGTGTAATTTGTTAATGAGGTTTTTCATTTAAAGCTTTTTGCTTATTGAAGTGGTTATGGTGCCAGGACCCATCAAGCTTTCATTTGATGAATTTGTTGAGCAATAGGATTTTCCAAGGTACTGCACTTGCAAGTCCTTCCACATCAGTGCTGCAAATGGCTGTATGTCAGGAGGACTCCTGTTGAGCTGTTATATGTTTTTCTGTAAGTGAACAGGAAGATTGCACAATGCAAAATTTAGTTTCAGCAAGGTGATTTAATTTTATGGAGTTTGGTGATTTGTATTTCAAGATCTTGCATATATAAACAAGGAAATACAGAAATCAACTACTGTGAAGTTATCGCCCACTCCTGCAGTATTTTAAATTATAGACACTCAGATAGGAAGTTTATGTAAAATTAGTATTGCATGTGTGCATATAGTTACTTAATAAGTAGTAGAATTGGGTGATATTTCAGCTGAGCTGTACATTTGAGCATATAGGCATTCTTTAACAGTTAGTAACTATTCTCTGTCTATTAGTTCTTTTAATTCTGCTCTTGTATAAATACTGTCCTTTCAAGTTCCATCCTATATGGAGTGCTAGTTACACTATAAAGTAGTGAGCCCTGAGGGATGTGATCATTTGATAGAAACACTCACTCACTTGTCTATTTGGAAACATTGACTGTTGCCATTACTGAGTTAAGAATATGGCACACAGCCACATCATGATATGTTTGGTAACACAATGGACAGTTATAAATGCCTTTTTATTTATTCATTTATGTTTTTAATTTATTTTCAAATGACCACATTTTATTTATAAATAATAATAGTTATGCTTTATTTATTTTTATAGATCTTCATTATACCATATTTTACTATTTTAAGTTTAATAAAATTACAAGAGTTTAGTAGACTAATAGGTGTTGTTTGGGCTTTAGAAATAGCCCGCGCTTATATGTCCATTAGGATCGCTCGTCAACATAGGACAGCTCAATGCTATAACCATTATAGCAACCACATTATGATTTAGGGGGCTTTCTTTGATGTCCCCATAAACGGAGGGGTAGAGATCCAAATAGGGACTGTCCCACCAGGCACAGTACTGGTTGGAGCTATGAAGTATTGCTAAACACGTTGACATGTCATACACAAATTATTTTCTTTATTTATAACAATACATGAATTGCAATATAATCACTTTTTGCAACAACTTCATGTTTTCTGTTGAAATACACCAAATATCACCTAATTCACAGTATTTTATATTTGGATCCCCGTAGAATTTTAGTGTATTGTACTCTAATGTATGTACAAATTAAAATACTTGACTCAGCCTGCTCGTACTTATTTGTTGCTGTATCTAAATAACACATTGATTTGTGTGTAGGTTTAAATTAGGTTTAGCACATTTGTTTTTAACATAGCACTCACAAAGTTAATTGGAGTTTCATTTCTTCGTGTAGACAAATCATTTATTGTTCAGAAACATCTTTCCAGCTGCAGATGTCATTCATCATAAATTAAATGGACTGTTATCAATGAGAAACATTGTAATTAAAAAAAAAAGGAATGTAATTCGGTAACACACACTTACAATGTTTTCCCTTTCAAATGTGCTTTCGATTTCAATATAATGTGTAAAATCCAGATTGAAAAGAAATGAATCATTCATTAGTGTTCAACTAATTTTTTTTCCCACAAATATAAAACATGATTTCATTCTCCTGGGCACCATTACCACTTTGAAATCCTCAAACATTGCATCCATCATGTTGGGGTAAAGCTGTGAAACTCGTACTAGGCATGACATCTTATGTTTCCCTAAAACTGTGAAACTCAAGAGAAAATTGGATTACCGTATGTAATCTAAAATGAAAATATAGCATTATGTTTAAAGAGGAAATGTCACATTTCAGGAGTATTAATTTTATGGTCACCTATTTCCAATATTTAACAAATATATGTTTGTGAGATATGAAAAAAAAAATGAATGTAAAAATGCACACTGTTCGAATTATCTTGAAAGTGATGATGGTGCCTAGAGTCGCATGGTACCAGCCGTTGTTCGTAATTAAATTGTTTTCAATTGTTTGACACTTGATAATGGTCCCTCCCCCATGCCCGACTGGAAGTATGGTTAATGTAGTTGGTTTTAGCCATACCACTTCAGAACAGTGATGGGAAGCAGTGATAGGTTGACAGGGCTCAGGTGACTACCATGGCCGCTCATGCTGCTTTAGCTAAGGCAGAAGTATTAGCCTGAACAGCAGAGATGGTCTTGGGCTGCTGGTGGATGAAGACCTTTATTTTTGTTAAACAGATTGAAAACGGTTTAATACTGAACTGTGGAATGGTGCGAATTGGTTGAATAATCTGAAATGGGTATGATGCCTAGATTGTTTAAATTCTTTGAAAAGTAAAAATGGGATATCACGTTAAATGTTTACCACAAGTTATGGGTTATTTTTAATTGCCCTGTTCACTGACAAAGAGATTTTCCATACCAAAGACGACAACCACTTATTTTACAGCAAATTACAGCTATACATCATTCTCATTAAATGGCTAGCAAACAAAATGATTATATTCACCAAACTGTGAAATGTCAATATTAAATAAAGACATAATACATTTAATGTCGGAACCGCTGACCTGGAGTATCAATTCAGTTGGAGTTTTTTACATGAAATTTGTAATTATTGGATCGTTTCTGGACAATTGTGTCTTTGGTTAATAACAAGGAGAGGCTAGTTAACGTTAAATACACTAACCAAAACATTTTTTACCATGTGTAGTTCTACTGCAGCCCCAGATCATTGTTTGAGTAAATGTATATCTGGAGGTGGATGGTTGCATATCAGATAGCCAATATATGCTGCTCCTATTCACTGCTTTGGTTATATTTGGCAGAAGTGATGTTACGTTAGCTATGTCTCCTATTCTATACAGTTTCTTACTATACCTATACTTGCTTGAAGATTAAGCATCATGCTATGCATATTAACAGGGATATTTACTGAAGTAAGAATTTTTGGTAATTGAAAGTGAATTTAAAATTAAGGTCAAGTAACTAAACTGGAAGCATAGCTTACTGGGAGAATCCTTCCAGTTTGCCTTAAAGGAACACAGTAGTGTGCAATAAAATATATTTGAAAATAATTTATTTGTGTCTTATGTATTTTGCATTAGTCATGCAACCGCTTTACTAACAAATAATTTGTAAAATAAAACATCCGCTTACCTTTAATTCAATGCTATTAGCAGTACCCTTGGGGCATACCACTCTACCCAAATTTGATATCATTATGTCACAGGGCATTGGTTCGATCCAATGCTTCTCACTTGGAAGCATTGTGGATCCTAGGCATATGTGAGGCTCTTCCACGATCTGCCAGTCGAATTTACTCAGCTTGGCCCAGTAGCATCTGCAGCTCTAGCGTTGCCTTAAAATGTAGGGGGTGTAATGCCATGGCTTCCACCAGCAAATGAAAAAGGGTAACAGCGGCAGTGTACTCACAAGTTGGAGCCCTCACTCCACAGCATATACCGCTGGATCCTGGGCTGGAGACAGGATGGGCTGGAGACTGGATGCTGAAGGTCAGTGGGAAAAAGCTAAATAAAATTGGGATACTGGACAAGGGAGGAAATATTTATTGCATTTTAAAAACGTCAATAAGATAAAAAATTTATAACGCCTATTGTGTTCAAATTTGAAATTCACTTTGCATTCCCAACAATTATCCCTGGGTTTTTTTTTTTTTTATGGAGTCCTCTAATTTACTATTTTTTTCATATTGAGTTCCATGACTACCTACAGCACTGACATTTTGACTTTGTTATAGTATTCATTTCATGTGATTATGATATAAATATTAATGAATATCCCCACCATGCTAACAGCATTGAATCCTTTTAGGCTACATGGTAGACAGCAGGAA